ACAGAGCAAAACTCTGTCTCAAACACAAACAAATAAAAAAGTACCCTCATTGATGCTGCATTCCACTTTTGGGAAGCAGACCACCACACAGTTCATGTTTGGACTTGAATGAGAGGCTTATTTTAAATGCTATTATATTTAAGAAATTTCTGCTCTTGACCAATATGGAGTGATAGGAATTAGATTTCCTCTTCCACCTTAATCAACTTCTAGTTGATTTGACAACATTTGACAATAGTCATTGAAGGATTGTGATCCTCAAGAGAAGGGAAACAAATGAGGTGAGACTTAGACTTGCCACAGCTTACTTCCTTGTGGCGATTTCCAGGCCACTGCACAGGTAGGTGGATTTCAAACAGTGTCCATTGGCTTCACTGAATTGAAGAGCTAAAATCTCAGTTTGGGGAGTCAAGGCATTAGGATTTATGGAGTAAATTGCTTGAGACAAAGGAGCTGCACAAGGAGGAATGAGAGCTCCTGAGCTCAGCAGAGGGGGGCTCTTGCTGATCTATGCTGAGTGCTGACTGGAAGCTGAGCTGTGTACAAGTGAGGGAGAGAAGCACCAGAAACCACTAAGTCTAACAATTCCTAACTCACACATTTTGTACCAACCAGAATGGAAGGATGTCATATAAACTCTATAATAATGGTAGCTCTTGATTGTACTAAAAGATCTAATGTATTCTAAGTAAGTTAGCTGTGCATTAGGATCAAATCCAACATGAAAGAATGTAAAATTTGTCAACAAATTATATCATTCAAAAAAGAAATAATATTAACCAGAAGAAACATTTTTTAAAAATTGAAATGGACCCATAAATGCCAAAATTGATTGAATTAATATATTAAAACTTTTAATGCTGTTAAAAATGTGCTCCATATGCTCAAGACAATGAGGACAAATATAGAAGATATTAAAAAATTAATAAATTAGATAAATATATATTATATATATCCTTTAGGATATATATGATATCATATATCTACATCTATCTGACTGGTTCTGTTTCTCTGAAGAACCCTAATAAAGATTTATTTACTGAGAGTGGTTCTAGAGAAACAGAATTTCAAGGACAAGATTTCTGATTTGAATCTAAGCTTAAAGATGCTAATGACTCTATTTCCAGTAGTAAAGAGAGCACTTACACACCATGGCATGAACTGGTAATAGAGATACATGAAATAACTGCACTGGATATTTCTGATCAACCACTTATAAGAAGCAAGGAACTAGGCAACTAGCAGCATTTACTGGCACATAATAAGCACTACCGAAGTTTTAGCTTTAAATGTTAACATCGCTCTTTTCTGGTATTCAGGTCTTTGCATTACATATCTGAAGATTGAGGACCTGTGTTCTGTCTCAGAAGAGATGGTAATTCCAGCCTACGTTGCTGAGGACCTGGATTAGTTCTCTGAGGCACTGCTATTTCAATATGAGAGAAAACTGTCTCCCCAGCATCTGCAGACACAATATATCAGATTTACAAATTTAGTTTGATCTCTTTGCATTACTTGCCAGGGTTGCCAAAGGGCAACCTTTTGAAGCAAAATTCCTCACAAACTCACTGAATGAAGCAATAGTTTCACCCAAAAAATCACACCAGTTCACAGTCTCTACGACAGACTGAATGTTTGTGTCCCCCTACCCATTCATATGTTAAAGCTGTAATCCCCAATACAATGGTATTTGGAGGTAGATTCTTCGGGGGAATATTAGGTATAGATGAAGTCATGAGGGTGGGGCCCTTTTCATGATGTTAGTGCCCTGATAAGGAGAGTAAGCGACCAGAGCTCCCTCTCTGTCCACCATGTGAGGACACAGGAAGAAGGTGGCCATCTGCAAACTAGGAAGCAGGCCCTCAATAGACACTAAATTTGTCATCTTGGACTTTCTGGACTCCAGAACTGTGAAAAATAAATGTTGTTTAAGCCACCCAGTCTGTGGTATTCTGTTATAGAGACCTGAACCAACTAAGACAGTCCCCTCCTTTCTCCCATCTAAAGGGAAAGAATGTTTATTGCAGGATCATAATTTCCAGTATACATCCAAAAGAACTGTTGGCTGCAGTCACCTCCACTGTTAGAAGCAGGACTAGTAGTCTCTTCATAAGCCAAAGTCCCAAGATCAACTTTTCCAAAACTTAGGCCTATTTGTCAACATTGTTTAGATCTCAGTAATTGCTAAGCTTCCTCCTTAAGCCTTCTGGCTCCTTGTCTACCACAATTTTCAACTTTCTCACCCTCAATCAATGCCCCACAGGGAAATTTATAGGAAACCTCCATTTATATTCAAAACAAGGAAGGAAGATAATTAGGAGGATCATACTACCCATGGAACAGAAGAAAAATCTTGCCTGTTTAAGTCTATGCTGGCATTTCATAATACTAGCACTATACTATGGCAAGAAATCACCCCTACACGACTCATTAACTATGCTGCTGTCTGGCAAGACACAACTAGCATAAAATATCCGCAAGGTCTACAAGATAGTAAAGGGGCCAGTGCTGGAGTGAAACAGGATGAGCTCTACTCTGGGAGATAAACAGTTTCTTTAAGACTAGACTTTCTGCTAACTAGCTGTGAGACTATGGAAAGTGACTGTAAAATGGGCATTTTATTAAGCATATACAGCCAGTGTACTGAGCAATGAGGAGCTTAGAACCAGAAGGTAAGTCACTATTTTCACCAAGCTATAGGGGATTTGGGAACCAGATTTCCTCAAAAGTGCCTTTCTCTGCCACATGTAATGAATCTGTGCCCATGTCCATGCTGAACAGCCAATCATTACTGAGATTTTTCTTCCTTGATGGACTAGTTAAAGTGTACTCAATACTTGTGTTAGAAACAGAATGGCCTGTTTTTTTCTCAGAACGCTAAGCCAGAAAAGCAACCTCTCAGTAGGAGGCAATTTCCGTTAATATCTGAGAAAACAGAAAGATTTATGCCTGACTTTCAATTTCCTCGGCCTTTCAGGCCATTCACACATTTGTAGACACAAAACTGATGCCATGATAGGAGCCCCTGCTGTGACAACCAAAGGGCCTACGATTTGCCTTTTTATTTATTCCTGTCAGGCTGTGAAGGCAAAGCTCTAGATTTACATTCAAGATATCAATCACATAGAAAAATTGGCTTTCTCAACCAAGGGTTAACAAGACCAGTGTGCCGTTGTTTCAGAAGGGGTGGGCTGGAGGTGAGAAGGTGCGCAGGAGAAGAAGGAAGGTGAAAATGTTCTTTTTGATTCATAGGCTGAGGACAATTTCCTGTGAAAAGACAAACCTAGGAAAGGCTCTTTTATCACTGTTATTTCCATGCATCTCTATGAGAGGAGACTTGCACTGAATTCCAGGGAAGGGGACTTAGGTACATGGCAGATCAATGATGTCCAAGACAGAGAGACATTGACTGAAAAACAAAATACATGTGATGTTGGCTTGAGGGTCTATTACAAAATAATCAGCTACCCAAGTCAACTGGGAATACAGAGAGGTCAAGGAATTTTCAGCAATAGTAAAGTAGAATTTTCTTTTTAAAGAAAAAGTTTTGCCTGGCATCCCTAAGAGAAAAGGGATTAACATGACAGGCCCACGACTGGTGTATCATTAGGCTATAAACAACCCATGTGTGCATTGTGACAGTATTTAATAAGGGGCCAAAACTGAACTCTAAGTCCAGAAACTCTTCTGTGCACAGATAGCACCAAAAGCAACTCCTGAAGTCAGGCATTATACAAAGCTGCATTTAAGCCCACTGACTGGACTCCCTTGTGGCCCTATAGGATTAAGTAGCTTTGGCATGATGATAATGAGCCTTCCAAAGTGTCTTCAGTCTCTTAATAATGTAACGTTCCCAGGCACCTTCTCTGCCCAGGTAACTTGTAGCATCCTCATGAGTGGTAAGCGATGATCTGTAGGATGTGCCTTGGCCTCCACATAGCTCCCTGCAGCTAGTGATGGTTAATGCACCAGCCAATTTCCTTCTCTCTATCTGTTCCTTCTGAGGGCCAAATGACTTTAATCTCAGCAATGCTTTCTGCCCTCTGCCTCCTCCAAGGCTCTATCCCCTTCTAACCCAGATGACCCTCACCTGATTTGAGGCACAGGGAAGGGCAGGCAGATGGAATTCTCACACTCTTTATTCTTTTTCCATTGATTTTTGTGGTATAAAGCCGTTCTCTTAGCTTTCCTCAAAGCCTCTCCATAGGTGTTCAAGAACTTATTTTGGAAGTTTCAAAACATTTTTAAAAATGTAATCTTAAAAATGGCTTTCCCCTTGCTGACCTGCTGCAACAATCCTAATTCTCCGTAGGCAATTGTGAATGCCTCTGTCGGACTAGAGGAAAGGTCAGCACAAGAATGCTCAGAAAAGAAAAGGAGAAAAAAATACAGTATTTCAAGACAACACCTCTTCACGACCACATTCATTGCTCCTCTCCTTCGCCAACAATTCATTAATCCTCGACTTCTCCTTCAATAACTCTGCTGAAATTCCCTTCTCAAACCTCTTAGTTACATTTAATCATTTCCTTTTTTTCAGACCTCAATCTCTGATGATATTTGATATGCTGACCCTATCCTCTGTATTATTTAGGAAGGGAGCATGGTAATACATAAGCAGTAGGAATCTAACTCCATACTATCTTAAGCTAAGAGGAGAAATTATTGGAAGGATACTGAGGTATTTCCTTCCAAATGAATTACTTGTTCAACCTTTTGTCTCAGGGTCTGCATTTTCAAATGCGTCCTCCCATCCGGGGTAGAAATTAACTCTGTAATAACCTCTAAGAAATGCAGTTGCAATGCCTGAATGCCATTGTTTTTAACCAGTTGAAACCTGCCTCCTTGTAACTTCAACATATTGTGTCTGCATCTTCCCATAAGGCACACTTTGATACAAAAAGCTAGATCTGGATCAGACATAAAACTTCAGGCAAGAACACATTAACCATTCATCATGAAAATCTTCTCTAAAATGAAACATAATACAAATGAAACAATTCTGAAGAATAGTATCTTTAATGAGTTTTCTAATCCTTGTCATCTGAAGTTTTGAAATATATTTACCAGGGTCAGAACAATACAGAGACAGTATTTGTATAATAAAGCATATTTTAAATTTCATTTAAGCTCTCTCATTTCTCCTCCCACAGACGCTGTTTTGATAAAGAGAAATAAGGATTAAATAGAAGGTCAATGCTTCAAACTAATCTACCTGTGTACTCGCTGAAAACTCTGGGACTGTATCCACATTAGGGAAAACTATTCTCAAATGCACAATCTCTGATTGTTCTATCCAAAGAAACTGATGTTCTTTCAAAAGAAAAAAGAAGGGCGAACTTCCAGTCCTATGTTTGACACATACTAAAGCCCCAAAGAGAAGACTGAATTGTATTTGTTCTCAGACAAGACACCTCTGTGACCATAACATAATGAATTCTGCTCTGACATTTTAGTGGTTCATTCTCCCAACAAGAATAAGTATTCCAGCCGGGCGTGGTTGTTCACGTCTGTAATCCCAGCACTTTGGGAGGCCAAGGCGGGCAGATCACCTGAGGTCAGGAGTTGGAGACCAGCGTGGCCAGCATGGTGAAACCATATCTCTACTAAAAATGCAAATATTAGCTGGGCGTGATGGCGGGCATGTGTAATCCCAGCTACTTGGGAGACTGAGGCACAAGAATCGCTTGAACCCAGGAGCCAGAGGTTGCAGTGAGATGAGATCACGCCACTGCACTCCAGCCTGAGCAACAGAGTGAGACTCTGTCTTAAAAAAAAGAAAAAAAAAGAATAAGGAATTCCTATCTGTGGTTGACTCGGTAGGATGAAGTGTGAGATTACTACTCAGGATAGAAATACTTTGTATCTGTCATTTTTGTTCAAGTCCTCCTTGTATTTGGTTTCATTGAGGAAAATCAACCTCTCTAATCAGGAAATCATATTCTTTCTGTTTTCCTAGTCATTTTGTAGAGTGTGTTCTAGCCCATGGGCTGTGTCAATCATACTTAATAAAATGATAGGCCTGAATGGAGCATTCAAGTTTCTTTAGCGCAATCCTCTAATTTTACAGATTTGAAAAAACCAAGGCTCACAGAAGGTAACATGTTTTTCAAGAACACGCAGCCAGCCTGTGCAAAGGCTGATATCCTGACTGACATTAAAAAGGAGGCAAAAGAGTAATTTGATTCAGATTTGGGAGAACAAAGGGTTGTGTTTTTACAGATGGCTGGGAGCTGAGGGGGAAAGTAGATACTGGAGAAGAAGGAAATCTGTCCAGAGCCCAGCTGTGCAGATGTTTTCACTCAGCCCCAGCTGCCTGCTGGATTCTGAGCAAGTCGACCAGGGCCTCCAGGAGCCTACTGGGTTTCCGCAGCACAAGGTCTTATGCTGGTGACGGAGATGCTCTGCCCTCTGCATCTCAGAGCACCCGCCTCACACTCAGACATCGTCTGCTCCTTGCCGTTCACTTCCACACAAATGCTAAACCCTTCTTCCTCGCACTCCGATGCTTCTCGGCAAACACATTTGCTGCTCTCAGCTGGAAAAGTAAGTGAAAGAGGCTTAATGGCACATTATGGAGGTGGGGGAGTCAAAGCACATCACCTCCAAAGTAATAATGTGGTGACCAGAGCTATCGAAGCTCCTGCCTGGAATGATATAATAAATTATCCCCTGGAAAAGCAGTAGGACCAGGAAATTGGGGCATTTTGCTCCACTCCAAAGGAATAGGTTTTGAAGTTGGTACCAGGCTTTCTATTGGTTAGACCTACATGGGGTGGTTTTATCCAAGTCAAGAGCTCTTTAACTATCTCATACGTGCATGCTGCTGTCCATATGAGCCAGCAATGGAGGTCAAATGAGAAGCCCTCAACAAAGAACCAAATCAAGACTTAAAGAGGAGAGGAAAAAAGAGAACTTAACTTGCTTTGAGAGAGAGTATGACATGCAAAAGGCTACAAATCCTGAAAAACAAACCAGAAATGAGTTAGGGAGGCAAGGAGTCTGTGCATGGAAAGTCCATGGTTGGAATACACCAGCCAAGAGTCTTTCAAAGATGAGTAACAAGGTCAGCCAGCAGACAGTGGTGACCGCCTAACCAAAAGTGTGCCAGACACGGCTAGAGTCACATATGTCATCAGTCTGTGCTGCAAACCGTGAGGGAGTGAGGGGACAGGTGCCAGCAGGTACAGGCCAAGAGGGCAGAGAGTGAAGAGCCAACAGACACCTTACAAGTCATAGAGTCCAGCTCCCAAATTTATAGATAGGGAAGCCCAGGCAGTAACTTGGCTCTGGAGATCCAGCCGTTCCCCTTTCATAGTATTGCCCAAACCATGGGAGGTTTGCCGTGCCCTTGGGGGTAAGGCAAGATCACTGTAAGTGCTACTTAAACATAGCATTAGCAAATATTGAATCACAACATGAGAAAGTAACTTCTTTTATTCTCTTCAAATCCGTCTGATTACTTCCGGAAGAAAGTGTCAGCTTGGTGCTAGTATGTTTTTAACACCCCTCTAACACTTGCTAAACTCACAGAGAAACAGCACAGTCAATATTGGACCAGTATCTGGCTAGAATCCACAACTTTATTTTGTTCCATTACATATAACTTTTATAGTTACCTAGTATTTATGGCAAGTGATACCTCCTTTTAAGGACGTGATATAAAGTTTTCATTTTAAAGTTACTTTTATGCCAGACTTTTAAAAACTGAGTACACAATATGGATAATACAAGGACAGAGTAAAAATCATGATGGTGGCATGGAATCACCCCTGTTTGGGAGAACATTTCCACATCAGGAATGGACTCTTATCCTCTGAGGTCTGTGATCTCTGTCCCTCTCCAGTGAGGGGTATAGGAGAGGTCAGTGCACTGTCAAATCACTCTGAGTCTTTAACATCCTCATGTATCTGCTTCGGCCCACTGCTAAACTAGAAACCACATTTTTTAAATCCTCAGTACTGTGACTTTAGCATTCTTATACTTACAAATATGAAAGGCCCCTTACCATCACATTTTCCCCACAGTGGGCAGGCACCACAAGCTTTCTCAGCTGAGGCAGGCAGAGTGCAGCTGTCCCTACCAGTAAGGGTGTAATTTCTACTCTGACAGTGGAGAACATGCATCTTGCAAACAGTCACAGGCAGTATCCTTTTGCTTCTCTCATCTCGAGCGCATACATCCAAGGAAGGTCTGAAAAGAATTTTTAATGGCATTATTTACAAGATTTTTGTTCTTAAAAGCTGAGGAGAAATGAAAAGTGATGCTCTGAGCTCGGTGCCCCCAGATGTTATCACCCACAGCCAAAAAAAAAAAAAAAAAAAAAAAAGGATGGAAACTCAAATCCCCTTCATTCCTAGGTCCAACTCACTTAGGTCTTCAAAATGAACATATTTGTATTTACTGTTTATTTGCTCACAGTTTTTCTAAGTGTAGATATCTAGTGTTGACCTAGTTCCATCTAGAACAGATCAGGTACAGCAAATTAGATGAGAAGGCAAGGTCTGCTAACAACAGCTGACAAAGAAGGAGTCAGAAAGCCAGTGGAGACCAAGCATTCAATGTGATCATAGTCAAATAGGACCATTAATTGCAGGAGAAATGAGCTCATCCCAGCCCAGCAGCCAAGAGTTCATGTCCATAAAACAGCATCATCCAAAAATGGATGGCGCTAAATCATCATGGGAAGATGAAACTGTATTTTTCAATGTTACTTTTAAAAGTATCTATGTTTACAAAATAGTTTAGAAATATTTCCATAAGTTTGGGATCCTGTAATCCCAGTGCTTTGGGACGCCGATGCAGGCGGATCATTTAGGTCAGGAGTTGAAGACCAGGGTGGCCAACATGGCGAAACCCTATCTCTACTAAGCATATAAAAATTAGCTGGGTGTGGGGTGGCCCACACCTGTAATCCCAGCTACTCGGGAGGCTGAAGCATGAGAATCACTTGAACCCAAGAGGCAGAGGTTGCAGTGAGCTGAGATTGCACTACTGCACTCCAGCCTGGATGACCGAATGAAACTGTGTCTCAAAAAAAACAAAAGAAAGAAAGAAATATTTCCATAAAATGTGTTACCTTTTTCATAAGTATTGGTGCTAAAATAGTGGGGAAAAAATAGCCATTTAGAAACGTCACTATCAGAAAACTCCACATTTCTGAATGCTGATAGACAAGGAGGGCATTACTGTCACTGAAACCTTAGACAACACAGCATTTTTGTATACCAGATAGAGTCAGAGTCTATATTCACACGCTTTATTTAGTTCAAATATTTTCCTCTTCTACCAAAAGCTAAATTTACTTGGAGTTATTTATAAAACAGAAACAAATCCTGTTGTTTTGAGGCTATCTTTTCATCTGTTTATTTAAACTTTAAATAGAACTACTTACAACAGCTGAAAGGGCAAAGAACTTACAATACCACCTTGTTGTCAGTATCTGAGACCATGGTATGACATGGAAATTTATACCATAACTATTAACAATGAGTTGCAGATAAACTAAATGAAATGGGGAAGTTGGAAAGAGGATGGAAGTGGCTCAAAATAAACAATAATTGTTAGAGATTAGCAGCAAAGTCAGAATATTAGAATCAGAATGTATCCAGGCTGACCACTATTTCCATCAAGCCATTTAGTTATATTCTTCTTCACACCAGAAATTACTATATACGACAACTATTAACCACTGTAGCTTCAAGAATGTGGGTATAGGTTTTGATAACTAAAATCATTCACAACCAAGTAATTAGTGTTTTAGTTCTTTTTTTTTTTTTTTTTCTTTTTGAGATAGGGTCTGGCTCTGTCACCCAGGCTGGAGTACAGTGGTATGAATATGGCTCACTGAAGCCTCAACCTTCCTGGCCTCAAGTGATCCTCCCACCTCAGTCTCCTGAGTAGCTGGGACTACAAGAGTATGCCACGACATGCAGCTAACTTTTGTATTTTTTGTAGAGAAGGGGTTTCACCATGTTGCCCAGGCTGGTGTTGAACTCCTGAGCTCAAGCAATTGGACCACCTTGGCCTCCCAAAGTGCTAGGAGTGCAGGCGTGAGCACCGCACCAGGTCATGTGTCTGTTCTTAATTTTAAAAACGACCAGTAAGTCTAGGGGCTAGATATTTCTTATTTCCTCCCCAGATCCACTTTCCACTCTTCTCCACCCGCCTGGAAGGCTAATGTGTGTGGGCCACACTGTGGGCTTCCTCGCCCTCTAGCTTCAGTTGGTTTGATCAGTGGTGAGTGTTGACTAGCAGGAGATTCGGGGCAGGAAAGAGAGTGCAGTTGAGGTGTTTATTCCCCTGGCTCATGCCTGTGGGATCTCTGAGGTCCCTAAAATGAGAGTGTCAGCTCCTCCTCAGGGCCATCTTCACACAGCCGTCTCTGTCTCCAGATTTTCCTCAATGTCCCTCTCCTTACTCCTTGGACCTGGATATGACTATACGGTCAAGCTGTTAGAAGTCTAGGAATACTGCCATGGGACTTGTCATTTCCTTTCCTCTCTTCACATTTTCGTAAATATTCCCACTAATAAAACTTTTCTTGTCCTAATTTAATTGTGCCATCTCTATTCTACTAGGACCATGACACAGACATGTACTAACCACTTCAGATATCCTCCTACAATGGAATGATTTCAAGTTGGTGGCATTCTTAACAGTGTAAATCTAGAGAAGATGGTTCAAGAATCAACAAAAGAAGCTGCTGTTTCCCTATCAGTATCGCTTTAAGAGTTTATGTCCCAAAGGAATTTCAGTTCTAATCCTCTAATCCTCTAAAGTTCTAAATCCTCAGCTGACAGTTTTGTCATTTTGCTCCATTTTATGTATGAAACAAGCAGTGCTCGAGTAGTCCTGCAGCCTTCTCCACTAGCCAGATTAGAACACGCTTAATGTCATGGCTGTCAACCCTAGTGATCCAGGCAAATAACAGGCAGCAGATGGGACTACGTCAAAATGCAAACAAAGACCCTTAACTCTTGGTAAGCTACACCTTCCATCCAACAGAGACTAGCATCTAACAAATTATCCCTTATCACGAATAAAATAAGACAGGGAAGTGAGATAAGGCGGCACTTACCCACATTCATAGGGCATTTTACAAACACATCTTGAATTCTGCAGTTTCTCCCAGCGCTGACATTCAGGCACTGCCTGTGTTAAAGGATTGTCTGAAAAAGGATAAGGGAGATATGGTCATTAGGAGAAAAGCTTCTTCATAGTAAACAAGGTGTTATTTGAATTGCTGGACCAGGGTCTGTAGTATTCTCAAACTGCAATGCATTTGCACGTAACAATAGTAATAATAATCAAGCTGTAATACATTTTGCAAGCTATAGAGAGTTTCAAGAGCCACATTACAAATAACTGCATTGGTAGTAATAGCTACCATCTCGTGAGCATTTATAATTGTCATGCACTTTTTATACACGGGGATATTTATGCCTCCCTAACAAATGCCCACCCAAGAAATCAGAAAATTAAGAGTAAAAAAAGTTAGGAAGTTGGTACTACTTCACACATTTAACAAATTGGCCCAGGCAGGATTTAATTCTACATTGGTCTGAATCCAAGGACAATAAAGTGGCTCCCTTTCAAGAAGCTGGTGCTTATAAATTGTTTGTTGTATGGACTGCATACCGCCTGCTTTGCCCATAATGAGGCAGAAAGCAGCAACATCACTTGACTTATACATGGAGAACTCCCCGGAATGCCGAGAAGATCTTCAATAGCCTCTTACATATGAATGTCTAAGTGGTTTCCCTCAACAGTGAATAAATGTCTGGAGGTCCTTACATTAATAAAATCCTTTCTATAACCTTGTGTTTTGTAGAAAATGACAATTCAGTCATCATTTCAATTTTGACAGGTAAACGCCCCGGTCCAGCTTAGAAGAGCATAGTGTGACTGCCCTCCCCTCACCTATCCCTGATTGCAATGGGAATGATCTAAAAACATCCTGATTTTTTTCACCTCCTAACAGCTTTATTACAATGAAATTCATTGCCATACACTTTTGCATCATAAAACTAGATAGTCATTTACTATATCTATAAAGGTAGTTTATCTGAAGAGCATGTTTTTATGAATACACAAACTATGGAATACTGCCTTACTTTGGAAAATTCAAGAGCTTTGGACATGACATTACAATTTTGTGAACATTCATAAACCTGTAAAAATGGTGGCAATGTGAAGTATGCCTGCCATGGCTAGCAGTCTCAATAACAGGACTCATTATTAAAACACTTCTCTTGGCTGGGTGCGGTGGCTCACGCCTGTAATCTCAGCACTTTGAGAGGCCGAGGCAGGCGGATCACTTGAGGTGAGGAGTTTGCGACCAGCCAAGCCAAATGGTGAAGCCCTGTCTCTACTAAAAATACAAAAATTAGCCGGGCATGGTGGTATGTGTCTGTAATCCCAGCTACTCAGGAGGCTGAGGCAGGAGAATCACTTGAACCCGGGAGGTGGAGGTTGCAGTGGACCGAGATTGCGCCATTGCACTCCAGCCAGCCTGAGCAACAAAGCGAGAACTTGTCTCAAAATAAAAGCAAAAAACAAAAAAAAAAACAAACAAAAAACACTTCTCTTTAAAATGGTATTATCCTAAATGCAACATAGTACCCTGAACTGGACCCTAGAACATAAAAGAGACATGAATGGTAAAAAAGGAGATATTTGAATAAAGTGTGTAGTTTAGTCAATAGCATGGTACTAATATTAATTTTTTAGTTTTAACCAAGTTGTGTTATATAAGATGTTAATATTAAGGAAGATGGGTGAAGGGCGTGTAGAAATTATATCTGTGACTTTGCTGAAATCTAAAATTATTCCAAAACGAAGTTTTTTAAAAATGGTATTATCTACATCAGTGCTTCTTAACCAGAGGCAGTTTTGTGCCCCAGGGGACATCTGGAAATCACTAGAGACATCTTTGGTTTTCACAACTGCAGAATGTTGTTGGCATAGGAGGATGCTACTGGTAAGTAGAGACCAGGGATGCTGCTAAATACCCTGCAATGCACAGAAGAGGCTCCCATAGCAAAGAATTATCAGACTAAAATTCCAATAGCGTTGAGGTTGAGAAGCCTTAATCTAGATGTACCAAAACTTAAGATCAATGATCAAGCCATGTAAATTAGTTTTGCACTGTGGTTAAAAATTTAGGACAAATCCTGAAATTTTAGATTTTAAAAGTTTGCTTAAATTATTATAATGTCGAGCCGGGCGCAGTGGCTCACGCCTGTAGTCCTAGCACTTTGGGAGGCCGAGGCAGGTGGATCACGAGGTCAGGAGATCGAGACCATCCTGGCTAACACAGTGAAACCCCGTCTCTACTAAAAATACAAAAAAATTAGCTGGGCATAGTGGTGGGCACCTGTAGTCCCGGCTATTCAGGAGACTGAGGCAGGAGAATGGTGTGAACTCGGAGGCAGAGCTTGCAGTGAATTGAGATTGCACCACTGCACTCCAGCCTGGGCGACAGAGCGAGACTCCATCTCAAAAAAAAAAAAAAAAAAAAAAAAAAAAGTGTGTATATATATATAATGTCTTTAATGTCTTTGTGAAAAAAAATGATAGAATTACCTAGCCCAAAGAATTTTTGCATTTAAGAAGGACATAGCTTTGTTACTTTACAACTTGGTTAACCAAATAAACACACTCTTAAGGTCCACCAAAATATGTGCTTTTGCTATTTTCAAAGCACATTTCTTCCCATCAAGACTAACTACAGGGACAGTAGGAGAAAGTGAGGAATTAATGTTTAATGGATATAGAGCTTCAGTTTTGGAAGATGAAAAAAAATGTGGTGATGGTTGCACAACAATGGGAATTACATAATGCCACTGAACTATACATTCAAAAATGGATAAAATGGTAAATGTTATGTTATGTATGTTTCACTACAATAAAAAAAAAAAAAAAAAAAGACTAAATACTAGAACAGCCAACATTTTAAAACATCAACTTTGGAGGCTGGTAAGTCTTGGATTTTTTTGTTTGTTATAGGCTTGGGTGTAGTTACTATTATTCACATCTTCAGAAAAACACACAGATCTGATAAACATCCTTAATTAAAACCCACTTTAATAGAGTCTACTGGGTAAAAGAAACTTCATACCAAGCTGTGCCATAAAATAGCTGAAGTAGCATTTTAGACAGACTAGTCTACAATCTCATTCGGAACAAAAGTGCAACCTCATCAACTGTATATTGTTCTCTTTCATTTTAGAATTATAAGTACTGGTTCATTACTTTAAATATCCCAAGTAAACTCATGTTTATACTTCAGTGTTTACAGAACACAAAACAACTGTCCCCTGTGATAGGGCTTTGACAACTTAAGAGCATATCAGGACAGGCAGGAAGGGCACTCCAAGGACTTGCGCCTTGCCCATTGTTCTGCCTCTCATCCACTTAACATCACAACCCATATCTACCATCAGTATCTGAGTGTTCCATACCCTGTTGCATGGAAAACTTAGTTGGAAACATCTAATTCACCTCACACCATCACATATGAAATCTAGTACTTCATCCTCACTATTAAAAATAAATTTCAGCGCTTAATTAAAAACCATATACTAGAGAGATAACATCAATAAAATAGTATGCAAGTGAGTTTTTCTTCATTCTCATTTTTGTTACAAATATAATATTTTCTATTTATTTAAAAAATGTAAACAGAGAATAAATGGGTTATTTTCAAACAAATCCATCTCATCTAAAATTACCTCTAAAAAGAAATAATTTGGCTTTCTAAACCCTTTCTACCTTAGGTTCTTAAAAGACCATTTTTTAAAATTTTCTTGGTGTTAAAATACTGGATTTTTGGGTTTCCACATTAAGAACAATTTCATGAATCACAACACTTTTCCTTCAATAATGTCTGTTTAAAGTGTTAAATAAAAATGCTTTCTAAATTTTCAATTTCAGAAATACTGATAAACTCTTTGAAAGCCCAAAAATGAAACATACAGAACTTTAAATAAATTATGATCTCAACTCTGTACTTAAGAAAAATGCAGAGGAAAAAAAATCAAGAGGAAACAACGACAAAAAACAGGTTTTAAAAATCTTTTATTGTCTTGGCACCATAACAGATATAAAGCTAATCTTTCACAAGGAGGGTTTAAGTTAAAAGTTTCAGAATCACCAGGCTATCCTTGCCTTTCTTTACATTCATGAGTCTTTCTGTGCCATGTGAAGACAAACTGTTACTCAGTCTACAAGCTGACCTCCATTTTAGGGAGCAAGAATGGAGGGGATGACTCACAGTTATGGAGATACAGTACCATGAAGGTCGCCACAAGGACTCTCACTTGCCTGGGTACAAGTATCCTTGGATAGACACAGAAGCCACTCACCTTTTTGTACACAGCGGGCATTCTTCATCTCAGGACTCCACTTAAGGCTGGAGCCACAGAGAAATGTTGAAGGACCTTCTAAGGACATGCCACTTGAACAGGAAACAGTCACCTTCTCACCAACTGTGTAGAAAGGTTTTTGGGGGTGACTCTGTATGCCATCCATCAGTACAGGTAGAACACAGGCAATTTCTAAAGATAAAAGAGAGCAAAATATAAGGGTCATTGCTCTCCTAAACCATCTTTTTAAAAAGGCTTATGTGATGCTGATACGCTTGTTCTACTTTTTCATATTAGAAGACAAGGAAGAAGACGTGAGTTCACTGTTAGGGTGGACTGAAAGACATGTCACACAGAGCCTGGCATGTAATTGACCAATGAATAACTAAAACCAAAACAGCTCCCCCTCTCCCATCCCTCCCCTCAAAACGATGTGACAATTTAAAATGAATAGCCCCAGTAGAGTCCTCATGCCCAGCCTACTGTTGAAACCAAACTTTTCACAGCTGTCACTTATTTCTGTGCTCTAGTGATGTTCCATCAGAATTTTCCTGGGCTATATTCATTTGAGTTTCATTAACTTTCATCCAGTTATTTTGCCGTCTGAAATTATTAAAACACCACTTTTATTTATTTATTTATTTTTTAGGGACAGGGTCTCTCTATGTTGCCCAGGCTGGAGTGCAGTGACTATTCATAGGTTTAATCAGTGTATACTACAGTCTCAAACTCCTGGGCTCAAACAAGCAATGGGGAAAGGATTCCCTATTTAATAAATGGTGCTGGGAAAATTGACTAGCCATATGCGGAAAACAGAAATGGAACCCCTTCCTTTTACCTTGTACAAAAATTAACTCAAGATAGATTAAAGACTTAAATATAAAACCTAAAACCATAAAAACCCTAGAAGAAAATCTATGCAATACCGTTCAAGACATAGGCATGGGCAAAGACTTCATGACTAAAACACCAAAAGCAATTGCAACAAAAGTCAAAATTGACAAATGGGATCTAATTAAACTAAAGAACTTCTACTCAGCAAAAGAAACTATCATCAGAGTAAATAGGCAACCTACAAAATGGGAGAAAATGTTTGCAATCTATCCATCTGACAAAGGGCTAATATCCAGACTCTACAGGGAACTTAAACAAACTTACAAGAAAAAAACAAGCAACCCCATCAAAAAGTGGGCAAAGGATATGAACAGACATTTCTCAAAAGAAGACATTTATGCGGCCAACAAACGTATGAAAAAATGCTCATCATCACTGATCACCAGAGAAATGCAAATCAAAACCACAATGAGATACCATCTCACACCAGTTAGAATGGTGATCATTAAAAAGTCTGGAAACAACAGATGCTGGCGAGGATATAGAGAAATAGGAATGCTTTTACACTGTTGGTGGGAGTTTAAACTACTTCAACCATTGTGGAAGACAGTATGGCAATTCCTCAAGGATCTAGAACCAGAAATACCATTTGGCCCAGCAATTCCATTACTGGGTATATACCCAAAGGATTATAAATTATTCCACTGTAAAGACACATGCACATGTATGTTTATTGCAGCACTATTTATAATAGCAAAGACTTGGAACCAACCCAAATGCCCATCTATGATAGACTGGATAAAGAAAATGTGGCATATATACACCGTGAAATACTATAATGAGTTAACGTCCTTTGCAGAGACATGGATGAAGATGAAAACCATCATTCTCAGCAAACTAACAGAGGAACAGAAAATGCATGTTCTCACTCATAAGTGGGAATTGAACAATGAGAAAAAATGGACACAGGGAGAGGAACATCACACACCGAGGCCTGTCGAGGGATAGGGGGAAAGGGGAGGGAAAGCATTAGGAAAAATACCTAATGCATGCAGGGCTTAAAACCTAGATGATGAGTTGATAGGTGCAGCAAACTACCACAGCACATGTATACCTATGTAATAAACCTCCACGTTCAGTACATGTATCCCAAAACTTAAAGTAAAATTTTTTTAAAATTAAAAACTCCTAGGCTCAAGCAATCCTCCTGACTCAACCTTCTGAGTAGTTGGGATCACAGGCACATGCCACCACACCCAGCTAAAGCATCACCTTTAACCTTGCAGACATAAAAGTATTCGGTGTTCCCTAATTTGTCATCCATATTCTTTCTCACTCAATTACATTCATTAGCTCAAATTGCTTACTTCAAAAAAGAACAGAGAAAAAGAAAAAACACACATAGTATAAACAGCAAGTCAGAATTCACGATTTTAAAAAAAAAAAAAAATCTCACTAATATCTCTAACGGACTTTGGACAATATTCTACAAAGTATTGCTGTATCTTTACAGCATTGTCATCAGAAAACCCATTCATTCATTTATTCATTCAAAAACAGCATCTGATGGATGCACTGAAGGCTTTGACTTCACCACAATGAGATATATCAGTGTAGCAAAATTGAACTAGTACCCCATGAATATATACAAAAATCCACAGCATTTTTTGAGTGCTCATATTTTGCCAAATATGTTGTGTACTGCTTGGGACAGAGCAAGGTACAAGTCACATCTTATGCCCTCCAAAACTTCATAATCTAGTATTGAATTTGCTTTTTTCCAATGCATTTGCTGTTTTAACAATAAATCTCCTACCAAGACAAACAATAGAAAGACTGTACAAAATGAAAAGGAAAAATATTTCTGAAAGAATTGGAGCATTAACAAGGCAGTGTAAGTTTGAAAGTCCAAGATTTCAGAGATAAGGGAAATCTAATGTGGTGATTACATTTACATTTGGTAACACATTTTTCTTTGAGGTATTTGTAAATTTTAAAAAAAAAAAGAAAATATGCTGAAAAGCTGCTAAACTGAGGAGAAAACTTTAGCTCAGAGGCTAAAAAGATAAACAGTTTTTAGCAGTCTGACAGGACCAGGGTTTTAAAACTTAGAGTTCAGTCCTATCAAAAAGAAGGGGCCAGGTAGAAAGCCCATACCTTCAGTTGGAATCCCTTAATGGCCACATCTTTGGAATAGAGATAACCCAGACATAAGCCATCCTCGCTGGTTGCCATAAACAAAAGTTAGTCTTCTCTAGAGGAAGATAGCATCATCCAATTTTTAAATTTTCATACGTAAAGTATGACATTCAACTAAAACTAATTTAACATTCAAAAAGACAATAATTGACCTAATAAAAAAAAAAAAAAAAAAACAGAAGCAGACTTAGAGTAACAGACTTATCTAAATAATGAAATTAACAGATACAGGCCCTGAAACAACTGAAATTAATATATTTTTTTAAATGACAAGATGGAAAATTACAACAGAGAATTAGAAAATATAAAACAGTAAACATAAATGTTTGAAGTAATTGATGTGTTATTTACTCTGATTTGCACATATCAAAATATCACTTAAAAATATTTTACGAAAAAATTTTAATATTTTTAAATATAATAATGTAAGAATATATGCTCATTCATTATAATAAATATACCACATTAATGGAAGATATTAATACCTAATAGGGAAACTGACTGGGAAGTAAGGAAGTAGATGGGAGCTCTCTGTACTTTCTACTCAATTTTTTGTAAGCTAAAACTGCTCTAAAAATGAAGTTATGAATTTAAAAATTCACTATGCAATAACAAAGTAGACAAATGAAACCTCTAAAGTTGAAAAATAGCGGCATGATGGCTCACACCTATAAACTCAGCACTTTGGGAGACTGAGGCAGGCAGATCTCTTGAGCTCAGGAGTTTGAGAACAGCCGGGGCAACATGGTGAAACCCTGTCTCTACTAAAAAGTACAAAAATTAGCTGGGCACTGTGGCAAGCATCTATAATCCCAGCTACTCAGGAGGCTGAGACAGGAGAATTGCTTGAGCCCAGGAGACAAAGATTACAGTGAGCCAAGATGGCACCACTGCACTTCAGCATGGGTGACAGGGGTAAAATCTGTCTTGAAAATATACATATATATAAAATTGTTTTTTAAGTTGAAAAATAAAATTGATAAAATTTCAAACTCTATAATAGAGTTCTTAAAAGGAGATTATAGAGAAATATACAGAGAATTAATAAATTGGAAGATAGGCCAATTGAAAATATTTAGAATGAGGCCAGGTGTGGTGGCTCATGCCTGTAGTCCTAGCACTTTGGGAGGCCAAGGCAGGCAGATCACTTGAGGTCAGGAGTTCAAGACCAGCCTGGCCAAGACGGCAAAACCCCATCTTTACTAAAAATACAAAAATTAGCCAGATGTAGTGCTGCAACCTGTAGTCCCAGCCATGCAAGAGGCTGAGCCAGGAGAATTGCTTGAACCTGGGAAGCAGAGGTTGCAGTGAGCCAAGATCACACCACTGCACTGCAGCCTGGACAATAAACTGTATCAAATAAAAAATAATAAAAAGAAAAAGAAAATATTTAGAATGAAACAGAGGGGAAAAGATAGAAAACAAATAAACAAAAAAGGATGTTAAAAAATATAATGGTCGGCATGCCCAAGATGGCCAAATAAGAACAGCTCTAGCCTCCACCTCCCAGTGTGAGTGACACAGAAGATGGGTGATTTCTGCATTTTCAACTTAGTTGCAGACTGACACTTCACACCTCACATGGCAGGGTACACTCCTGAGATGAAGCTTCCAGAGCAAGAATCAGACAGCAACATTCGCTGTTCAGCAATATTCTATCTTCTGCAGCCTCCGCTGCTGATACCACAGCAAACAGGGTCTGGAGTGGACCTCAAGCAAACTCCAACAGACCTACAGCTGAGGGTCCTGACTGTTAGAAGGAAAACTAACAAACAGAAAGGACACCCATACCAAAACCCCATCAGTATGTCACCATCATCAAAGACCAAAGGCAGATAAAACCACAAAGATGGGGAAAAAGCAGTGCAGAAAAGCTGGAAATTCAGAAAATCAGAGTGCATCTCCCCCTCCAAAGGAATGTAGCTCATCACCAGCAACAGAACAAAACTGGACAGAGAATGACTTTAATGAATTGAGAGAAGAAGGCTTCAGTTGATCAAACTTCTCTGAGCTAAAGGAGGAACTATGTAACCAGCGCAAAGAAACTAAAAACCTTGAAAAAAGAATGGATGAATGGATAACTAGAATAATCAATGCAGAGAAGACCTTCAAAGAACTGATAGAGATAAAAACCATAACACGAGAACTACGTGACAAAT